TAGTCAGGGGGGATCAGCAGGCATTGGGGGAGTCACTGTTCCCCCGAGCACCGCCAGGAGTGACCAGGAATAACGGTCACAAGCTGGCAGAGGGTAGGTTTAGGTTAGACATCAGGAGGCGCTATTTCACGGTCAGGGCAGCTAGGGTCTGGAACCAACTTCCAAGAGAAGTGGTGCAGGCTCCTACCCTGGGGGTTTTTAAGAGGAGGCTAGATGAACACCTTGCTGGGGTCGTTTGACCCCAGTACTCTTTCCTGCCATGGCAGGGGGTCGGACTAGATGATCTTCTCAGGTCCCTTCCGACCCTAGAAACTATGAAACCATGAAAACGCAGGTATGTGAAAATGCAAATACATGGCAGGGAAGATCAGAGGGGATGGGGGTTAATGGGTACAAGACAGGTAAGTGGGTGGTGGGGAGAACACAAAAGAGGGAAATGTTGACCCCTGATAATTGCAAGGTAAACAAAACAAGGTCAGCCACAGGCACAGGGGATGATGCTGACCACACATAGGTACTTCACAGTAAATACTACAAGTGTCTTGTCTCTTCCTAGGGTGTTGGTTATAACCCTGTTGGTCTAAGGACAAAGGCAGACAAGGTTCTTCGGGTAAATGTGATATCTTTTATTGGACTTGCTAAATAGTTGGAAAAATTATTCTTTGCAAGCTTTTGGGCACAAACACCCTTCTTCAGGCATATGGAGAGTCTGCTGGTGTTTATGTGCTCTCCTGGGTGGAATAGAAGCTTAAACCAATATGCAAAATGCAGATCTGTGAAAATGCGAATGTGTGGCAGGAAGATGTGTGGGAGGGGGTGTGAGTTTAATAGGTGCCAGACAGATGGGTGTCAGGGTGGGGGGAAGGAAGGAGGATATGTTGACCTGGTGATAGAAGGTAGCTGGTAAAATGTAGAGCGGTTACCTGGAGTTATTAGATGTTAGGCAGGTTATAATGTACCATAAATCCAAATACTATATTTAGTTCATGATTTTTTGTATCCAGTAGACTTATGAAGTAAAGTTCATAGGCTCATCTACAAAAGGTGTTTTGTAAATTCCCTTTGAGGATTGGAACTGGGACATTGGAAAGAGAGTGCTTGTCCTGTGAGAAATGTGCACCCACAGGTGACTGGGTATTTTTGTCTCTTCCTAGTGTTTTACAGAATACTAACCATCTCCCAGGCATTTATCCTTCTGTTGAACATGTACGTGCATATGCGCCGCACATCCTTTGTCAGTTAAGGTCAAATCTAAAGGCTTGTTACTATATGAGATGCATGAAGCTTCACATTGTTTATTTTAGGAGATTAATAAAAAGCACTGGATGAATATAACTGAAAATATCATGCCCTTAATTTAGTGTAAATTCACAGGATAGTACTGTCATAAGAAATTTCTCCAAAAGAAAGGTTCTCTTCATTTTGCAAACTGGGAACCTGGTTGTCTTTATCAGCTTGTGAGTCTAGGAAAATAATTAGTTCAGTTCTCTTACAGATTAATTATGTTAGGAAAATAAACTTGTCTTTAGTTTAGGAACATAGTTTCATATCTGTAAAATTACTATATGGATAGAAAGATGCTAGCCGCCGTGGTGCTCTGGTGTGGTGTCAGAGGACTGGAAGAGGGCCAACGTGGTTCCCATCTTCAAAAAAGTGGGGAAGGAAGACTCAGGAAACTATGGGCCAGTTAGTCTTACCTTGATCCTGGGTAAGCTTTTTTGAGAGAATTATCCTGGCACATGTCCATGAGGGGCCAGTGGGGGAGGTTATGCTTAGGGGCAACCAACATGGGTTCATTAGAGGCAGGTCCTGTCAGACCAACTTGGTGGCCTTCTGTGACCAGGTCACAAAATCTTTAGACGCAGGGGTAGCAGTGGACATAGTCTTTCTGGACTTTAGGAAGGCCTTTGACACTGTCTCTCACCCCATTCTTATTAAAAAACTAGGGGACAGTGGTGTCGACACCTACACAGTCAAATGGGTCGCCAACTGGCTGGAGGGCTGCACCCAGAGAGTGGTGGTGGATGGGTCATTTTCAGCGTCGAGGGATGTGGGCGGTGGGATTCCCTAGGGCTCAGTCCTTGGGCCTGCACTGTTCAACATCTTCATCAGCGACTTGGACGAGGGGGTAAAAAGCACCCTGTTCAAATTTGCTGA